TTAAACTCACATCGCACTAATGCGCTGTAAGATAACTGACATTCCTTTCGTTCTGATATTGGTTTCTTTACATCTTTAAAGCTAAGTACGTTTAAAAAGGTTTGCCAAACAAACATGCGAACCAATATTAATAAAATCCTTGAGAATATTAAAACGAAGCATTACTCCGCGATCACGTATGTTGCTACTCCGGATGGAAGTAATTCTACCATCGATTGACATCATCAAAGAACATAGGAGTGGCATCAATATTGAAGTTTTGCTTATAGACGGCAGCCCGATTATTAAAATTGATTAAAATGAAAAAAATATTTGATAAACAATTTAAGAGATTCAAATCGATGAGTAAAAGATCAATGTTTATTTGAACTACATATTTCAAAATTAATGAATCCTCTTTGTATTAGGGGGTTAGTAAGGGGACATTGAACTAATATTAGTAGAATAAAAGCACACCGCACAGGAGATATAAGCTATGCATATTGTAAGATATTTACTAGGCCGGGCTTAGTGCCGCCCTACTCCGGCCAAGCCGGCTTTAGGCACACCATTACGTTAGGCGTATGCCTGATAATGGCGGCAATTTTCGTCAATATCGCCGAGATAGACTTCGCAGTGAGAATTATGTTCGTACGGTATCCACTGTGTCAAGTACCTACTTTAGTAATTTGATCTTCTTCGGCAGACGTTTTGTTTGTACAGAACTCTTTGTTTACCTAAAAAGTAGAGGCGAAATAACTCAAATATTACTATTCTGTCCATATATACTTTACTCGAAGGGATATTTCGACAAATAAGAACCTACAGTTAGTCAAGCTCATGAAATTATGCCACCACATACCAAAATATCACATTAGATAAGAAACACGTGAAAAAACTTTTATTTCACGCGTGTCGGCGGTTAAACTTGCGGTGCCTTTTTTCAGTTGCAAATTATTTCAATAAGTTACCCCGAGACATTTTCCTCCAAAGATTTTATATTCGAAAGCAGCTATTTATAAAGATCAAACGAAAATGGTGGTCTACAAATCTAAAGGCAGGTAACATCTAGAACGGTAACGATAGGCAACATTTATCTCTCCGGCCGGCTGTCACCACCGAGCTCATAAAACGCGGGTCTGGCAGTCGTCAGGTGTGTTGCGGTGAGCCATCAAGTAGCCGAACCCTCGCTGCGGATCGCTTGTCGATACTCCGGGCTAATCGTTCCCCTGGGCGACCCTTGTCGGCGCACATTAGCCCGGCTCGCTTTAACGACTCGCTGTAAACATGGAATCGTTAAGATTTTACACCTAAAATCCCTCCATAACTTTCTTTCAAGCATTTTCATTTTTAGATGCACTTACGGAAGATGTAAAAAGGCGTTAAATTAAATCTACCTCATGCCTGGGTAAGACCCCTTACTACCTGTCGCCGCACTGCGCGGGGAGTACGTAGTGTTGGTTTAATGATCATATTTTGCTAACCCACAATATAAATGACATGCATTGATATTGCAGATAACTAGGTAATACTAAACATAATATTTAGGTAAGTTATTTATGTACGATATATATAGATAATTATATCATTGTCAGGTTTTAGTACCTACTTAGGTACTAGTAAAAATCACATATGAGTGTATTGTGTCTGGTAAATTAAAACCCATAGATATTGTTAATCTTCTCGAGTCTTGCTTAGGCTGCCCAAACACGAGTCAAGTGAAGTGAACTAACATGAAGTTAGTAATTTTACGGAACCCTCGGAGCAAGAGTCCAACTCTCGGCTGACTTTTCAACTTAGACATTCCTTAAGGAGAATAAGGAGTGATCGAGTGGTATAGGAGTTTGGTAGTTACCTACCCAGACACTTGAATATGATGCGATAGACAAATACATACTAAGTAAGTACTACCTTTTATTTGCAGTCAACGTTGTGGAGTATGTACATACACGTGTTTGTGTTGGTGTTTTCACTCAGTTTGGAGAGTAGAGGCGCCTATCAATTCATAGAAAAATATAAAAGCATTCAGCGCAATCTAATATCTTGTGTAAGCCTAAAATGGTTTGAAAATAACGAAACACCTACGTTTCAATCGGGACATCCAATACACAAAATAATCACGTTCCTTACTCGGATTGACGCAGACGCTCGTTCACTCACCGCTCCACTCGATGGAATCCATTCACTCGTTCATTCGCTCAATCATTCACCCCACTTGCGAGTGGATGCATGCCTTTATGCAGAATTATTGAATTTCCGAATTCACATAGCGAGCGTCTGATTCGAGGCGAGCCGAGGCGCGCAGACAAAAATCCATTTGGCAAATATTTATGCGCGTAATGATGTGGAGGAGGCACTCACTTAAGTACTGTTCGTAATAAGTTTTGAAGTGTAACTTGTAGGGAGACTACATTCAGTTTTGTAAGTACGTACAAGGTATTTTTTTAAGGGGGAAAAATCATCGAATGACTGCTCCCGCCTGGGTGAGGCGGGAGGGAGTGTCAGACTCGTAATGACTAAAAACCACCCCGTTCCTATTCGTGCACTTCGAGCCGGAGCCCCAGTAACCCGTTAGGTTCTCCGCTACTCCGTATCGGCATCAGCTCTATTGGGCCCCATCCGTGGTGGTCTGATGGCTCTTTGAGGCGCGCGTGGAACACGCTCGGGTCTGGTTGTGGTCGGGCGGCGAGCCACCCATGCTCACCGTCAGCAGGCCCGTGCTTACGGTGGCCGGAGATCGTCTCGCGATCCCCAACGCCGGTGTATCCTTCGCGATGGCTGGGTTGTGAGGAGGTAGCGCTCCGCTGCCTCATGCGCCCCGCCTCCTCCTTAGCTAGCATGACTGCTTCGCAAAAGGAGACGGCATCCCAGTCTCCCTCGCTCCGCATCATGGCCCGCACTAGAGCCGGACGCGAGAGGTCGCTGTCGCAAGTACGTAAGGTATGCGAGGATAGTTTAGATGTATTGGTAGGCAAGTAGGAACCATTATACACCGCCACCGTATGTTTCACCGTGTTCTCAGGCCCCGGGCGGTCTTAACAGTGATGCTATACGGGCAATTCCTATGGCCGCCCTATGGCTATCAGAAACAGGTACCTGCGTCAGGCGGTAAAATTTGTTCCTGTGTCCCTAACACCGGGCACTACCTAGCTATTAGGTAAGCAGGGAAAAATATCGAGACACCATGAGGCACAAACTGGCAGCATCTTCCTCCACTATTCACAACTATAAATATGACGACCACTCTGTCAAGAGTCAAGAGTGTTTAGGGAACAGAGAGTATAGTTCCCTAAGATCGGAAAAGGAGGATCCTCCGACCAGGCGAGGTGATCGTGCCTGGCGGGCTTTCGGCCCAACAGTTGTTCGTTGGGATTTTCTATCCGTGTTTTATTCGCTTGTAAACTTTGCATGTGCGATGTAGGATTCTTGTGACGTCATCCGTTGACATGTGGCATGCGTCGCCACATCACTCCCTCCCAAGACCGGAGGTCGATCCCGCTGAGTCGGCTGTCGATGTTTGAGATGAGCGGTGCCAGAGCCAGTGTAGAAAGTCCCTAGTTCCAGTGAGTCGGAACTGTGCCGCTGAGTGCCCAGTGAGTCGGGTGAGCGGTGCAGGGTTAAACTCCAGTGAGTCGGAGAGATGAGCTCGCAGTGTCCCACGGTGAGTTGGGGAATAGATGCTGCGAGGGTAGGTGCGTAGTGGCTGGCGTCTGCGTTGACGGGAGGAGATGTCCTTCAGAACCGTGTGCAGAAGTGCTGTGCCTAGACGCTGGTGAGGCCGTAGGGAAGAACCAGACTGCACGACTTCGTTGCAGGCTATGGTGGTCCCTGATGAGGCCGAGGATGCTGGTTGGCTGCGACTTGACTACCGCTCAGCGGATAAGTGATGAATGAGAGGGATGGCGATACGGATGACGGTGCTAATCTGCTCCGTGAAGGGAAGGTTGTTTCCAATCACGTCGGGGTCACCACTTTAGGGAACAGAGAGTACCTCTATAAGTAGTTCCCTAAGATCGAAAAAAGGAGGATCCTCCGACCAGGCGAGGTGATCGTGCCTGGCGGGCTTTCGGCCCAACAGTTGTTCGTTGGGATTTTCTATCCGTGTTTTATTCGCTTGTAAACTTTGCTTGTGCGATGTAGGATTCTTGTGACGTCATCCGTTGACATGTGGCATGCGTCGCCACAAGTGAACCGACTGAGGAGACCAGACCTTATCACCACGCGCAAATCGCCGAGAACTCACTAGGTTACCGGTTTCAAATCAAAATTATGCTACAACAATTTTGATAAGTACGTATGTACTTACTAACGTAATTATTTCACTTACCTATATCATTTCTAATTATATTTAACTGTTTAATATTTTAGAATTTAGAACTATCTATAAACTCTTCCAACTCGAATCTGCCTAAATTACGATTTATTATTTTATATATTATATATTATAGTCCATCATACCAGCCTGGTATACTCAAGTACCCACGCTGTCATTACATCATACTAGTTACATCATATTTTTAGATGGCCTAGTAGCATTTTGACATTTTTAACAATTATTATTTTAAAATCCACTTTGTGACGTAATAACATTCCGCCGGTGGCCTGTGTTGCTCTATGCGTAATAAACACTTTTTTTGAACTGTATATACCTATTTGACAACATTCTTAACATAATTGTAATTTAATTTGCATGCCGAAAGGTAAAATGTATTAAGTGTACCTACATTATGAGCAAATAAATTTTAAATTACGAGAATTTTAATGAACAGTAGTATTAAAACTTGAATTTGTAATTTTATTGCGGCATGACACTTATTTTTTCCTTACATTTTGTAAGTGGCAACACTGACAGTTACCGTCACAATCCCTCTCTCTACTCGCGCTGTCAAATCAACGTTAGCCGAAGCGTGGAGGTGTTGGTGTAGCGTCTCTGTTTATTATACCTAAGTTGTTTTTGTCGTATTTATTACTGTATTGAATAAGTGAAATTTATTGACAATAAAGTATTGCGAGTTCTCAAGATGTTGGTGCTATTCGAAACATCGGCGGGTTACGCTATTTTCAAGGTAAATTCAACACGTGTGATTTCTAACCTCTCAAGAATTAATGCTATTTTAATTTGGATGAAGTGCTGATTTTACACCTTAATTCTAGTAAAAACAATACAAATTAACATTAAATTCGTTCAGTCTACATAGTTCCATTGAAATGTTTACTTTCCGACCATTGGAAACGAAATCATTCTGTTTGACAAAATATTCTAAACACGTTTCGAGAGCATTTTATTTTTATCATTCTAAACTATCATCTTTAGTTTTCAAAAGAATTTTTAGTGCATGTAATAGGATAAAGCATGATTACATTCAGTGAAAATAAAATAAATTTATGCACAGTTTGTGTAATATGGTGCAAGTACGTAAACACAGCTTTTACTCTTCGCCTAACTTTACCGTAAGCAGCAAGAGTATTTTATGAATTTGGTCTATATCTTTTGATAAAAACATGTCCATAACTGTTTAGTCATACTGTTGTATCCTAACGACTTCACAAAATGTTTGTGTACATAACCTAAATATAATCACCTTATATAGGTTATGTCTTGACAAACTCACAAACTTTGTATTTAGTTCAGTCATTGTTATCTAATGATAAAATATATGATGTAACTGAAGTTGTTATTGTTCTGTAAATTATACTAAACAAATAATATTGTTTGTTAACGTCTCTACCTAACCCAGTCTGCATGTGTTGATAAAAAAAAGTATGGTGTATTTTCTGAGGTTTAGATGCTACAACACCATTCTTTTCAGGTATTTTGTGGTATTTTTGTGTTGTTTTAGTTTATATTTTAGACACTTGACCAGATTGTTAGTTATTGTATGATTGATGCTGGTCCTGTTCTTGTTTAGTATGTTCTGTTTTTGGAACAATATATTAAAAAAACTTGCCTTTTATACCACTTGTATTAAAAATTCATTGTAATCTGGGTCAGTACAAATGACATAGTTCCTCAGTCCCCTTAAATAGATTTATTTAAATTTTATTATGTTTTGTTGCTCAAAATATTGTTTTATTTGTCTTAGTTACTGGACGAGTCAAAGTTGACACAAATTGATGACTTGTACCAGGAGTTCAACACACCCGAGGGAGCTTCTTCAGTGTAAGTTTGCTTGTTGAGTTAACATAGCATGAATTCATATTATTATGGTATTTCTTTTATTTGTTTTTATTTACTTTTTGTTTCATTTAAATCTTTTCTTACAGGGTGAAACTAAAGAACTTTATAAAATTTGAAGACACAGCTGAAGCTCTTGCAGCTACCACAGCAGCCATTGAAGGCAAAGTGTCCAAACCATTGAAGAAAGCTCTCAAAAAGTACATTAGCAAGGAAGTGCAGGACCAGCTGCTTGTCGGTGATGCCAAGTTAGGAAGTGCCATCAGAGAAAGTTTGACTTGCAGTGTGTGTCCAACAATAATGTTCAGGAGCTGCTCCGATGTATCCGCTCACAGATGGACAGCCTGCTGGCAGGTCTGCCAAAGAAAGAAATGACAGCTATGGCTCTGGGTTTAGCTCACTCACTGTCGAGATATAAATTAAAGTTCTCTCCTGACAAAATCGACACTATGATTGTTCAGGCTCAATGCTTACTGGACGATCTTGATAAGGAGCTAAACAATTATGTCATGAGATGCAGAGAGTGGTACGGATGGCACTTCCCTGAATTGGGTAAGATCATTACAGACAACACACTTTTTGTAAAAATTATACAAATGATGGGAACGAGGGACAATGCTTCCCAGACAGATTTGTCAGATATTCTTCCGGAGGACTTGGAGGAGAAAGTAAAGGAGGCAGCTGAGATCTCGATGGGAACTGAGATATCGGACGATGATATCTTGAACATTCAGAACCTATGTGATGAAATCATCTCTATCACAGACTACAGAACACATCTGACGGATTACTTGAAAGCTAGAATGATGGCCATGGCACCCAATCTGACTGTGCTGATCGGTGAACATATTGGAGCTAGGTTAATTGCACATGCTGGGTCACTGATGAACTTAGCCAAACACCCAGCCTCAACTGTACAGATCTTTGGAGCTGAAAAAGCTTTGTTCAGAGCCTTGAAGACCAAAAAAGACACACCTAAGTATGGTCTCATCTACCATGCTCAGCTAGTTGGTCAGTGTAGTACTAAGAATAAAGGCAAAATGTCGCGCATGTTGGCGGCGAAGGCAGCTCTAGCGACGAGGGTCGATGCTTTCGGAGAAGATGTGTCGTTTGAGTTAGGAGCGGAACACAAAGTAAAATTAGAGAATAGGTTAAGGCTGCTGGAGGAAGGCAACCTGCGGAGAATTAGTGGAACGGGCAAGGCAAAGGCCAAGTTCGAAAAATACCACAGCAAGAGGTGAGTTTTAGTAGTAACATTATCTTGACTCTAATATAAATATATATATAAAATATATATATAGTTGTAAGACACAAATATATCAAGTAATTCTGAGAATTAAAAAAATCTGAATTGGATTTCCTTGTTCTGTAATTTTACTGACATGTATTCTCTTTCTCGTAGCGAGGTGTTCCACTACCCGACTGCTGGAGACAGCACCCTGGGTAAACCTGTGAAGCGAGAACACTCACCCGATGAGGATGGCCCCTCAGTCTCTGCCAAGAAAATTAAACTAGAAGATGGTGCTAGTGATGTAAGTATATGCATAAATTTAATTTTTTTATTGTGGTTTGGCTATGTGACTCATTCAACAGGGGTTAATCTATATAAATATAAATAAATTTCCGTTTGTTCATCTCGTTAAAACTAGAATGGCTGAACTGATTTCACTAATGTTGGTTATGAAATGTTCGTCCAGGGAAGGTATAAAATAATATGGGAAAAAATTTTTAGGAGGTACGAAGTTAGCCGGCTCAACTACCTAGTTAAAAATGATATTAATATAATTTTTTTTTTTTATTAGAATTTTAATAAAATTTTAGTTGCACAGAATTTACTTCATATGAATTGTGTTAAGTTTAATTTTATAACAAATAACTAAAGTTGTCTTAGTTGTCTTAGTTGTCAGTATCTGGTCTGGTATGATATTTTCGTTGTTTATAACATAACATCACGCCTATCCCCAAAGGGGAAGACAGAGGTGTACATTATGTTACCCACATTTCACTATTTATGTTATGAGTCCCATGTAATAGGGAGTGAGCCTATTACCATATACCGGGCATAATTCCAGACTCCGTGCTATTACTGAGATTTTTTTAAAAACCCACGATTACTTTGCCCGACCCGGGAATCGAATCCGAGACCCCTCGCCCGGCAGTCGCACTTGCGACCACTCGGCCAACGAGACAGAAGTGTTGTTTATAACACCTGCATATTTACAAACCATGTATTTCCTCCAGGTAACACCAAAGAAAGAGAAGAAAATTAAAGTAGAAGTGAAAGAAGAAGTTGAAAACAATAGCCAGGAGGAGCCAGTCTCAGAGAAGAAGAAGAAAAAGAAGAAGAAGTCAGAGAGCCTACCCGTTGAGGAAGCAGAGGAGGGTGTAGAGGAACCTAAGAGTGAAAAGAAAAAAAAGAAGAAGCGGCAATCACAACCTGAGGAGGAATAGATAATAGAATAAGGAGTATTTGTGGACCCACCACCACCTTGCAGATGTGCAATGTATTATAAGTCAGCGCTGATGTCTAAACTGGCAAAAAATACATACAATAACAAGTGTTCATTTTTTTATCAGGGCAACTGAGTCCACCTTTATGTGGTTGACTATACTGCCTGTGTCATACTTGTTAATACCTGTAAAATCTGTGACATGTGATGTATTACCTGTACAGGTATAAAAAATTCTTAAAAAATACTTAAAAATTAGCATTTCCAAGGAATTCTGCTGACCTTACGGGTACATAAATTAGTACCTTAGATTTGTATATATATAGGTATAACATGTGTAGGATGGACAATATGAAATCCTATAGTTAAGGAGTTGTTGCGTTCTATTCTTTAAGTGAAAATGTATTATAACAATGGTTATAATTTAAAGATTATATTCGTATTATATTGTTTTATTGTGTCTAGCCCAGTTTTATTTTCTAACATACACCATCACGCCTTTTGTCAACAAAGGTGAAAAAAGATGTTGGCCCAGGGCCACTTGTAACTATGTTACTATTGAGGCTGGCGTTTAAAGACGTTTCATCGAACTAGAGTAGCCACTACAACAGCAGCCAGTTTCTTGCTCGTTCTCCATTCGAATCGACTTTTTGGAATGAGCACCTAGCTTCACCTAGTTTCACTGACGGACTGACTGATAGACTATTATTTATTTTGTATTTGTTTACGTTTCGAAAGTACCAAACTATGGTTTAATTGAAATTAATGCTTTGACTTTGACTTAGAACATTATTAGATACGGTACCCTACTTACTAACTTTTAGTATATAAAGAGTTCACGAATCTCTCCCTATACAATTTTGGTAAGTTAACCAGTTTTGATTTCAATAATATTGTTCAGGTTCTTCACAATTAAATCATCTAAATTACGTGCCTACGTACTTACCCTACCTACCTCGCGTAACTTTTGATTATATAATGTCTAGATAGAGCGTCACCATACAATAGCAACAAAAATGAGATTCCATAATTTCTTACGTGTGCGTGTGGCTTGTGAACAGTTCACTGCAAACTTTTGGACCGCTTTTCGTGAACTGACATTCTATTTAGACATTACTTAAATATAACAATCAAAGGTTTTATATTTTTCTCATGTTAAATTGTACGTGGCAAGTTCACGCGTCGGTAAACCAACCCAGTTCATGCGCCTGATAAAGAAAAATTCGTTTAGCACAAGGTGCTTGAATGAACAGAGATAATCCGAGATCATCACATGCTACACAACAATCTGACACGTGTTTGAAGTACTTGCTTAATTTTTATTTTTATTCCCTTTTCTGTATGTATGTATTTTTCATAATAATAAAATGCTTTTATATATCTATCTATGTTCATATTTATATTGAATCATAAATTACGTTCATCAAAGCCTAAATTAGTTCAGCTAAAAGGTAACACGACATTAATTGACTGTTAGGCGGTACGAAGTTCGGCGGGTCAGCTTGTCGTTATATAAAAATAACGTCGTGTTGAAGGAGGACATTAGTGGACTAACCCGTGGCCATTATGCTGCGGAACGTCGGGGTGTTGCCGCAACGGCTTTGCTTCACTTATTGCGGGATAATCTGGCTCAGGCCGGCCTGTTGACCTAACGGACACGCTGCCCGACTGTTTGTTGAAAGCCTGAATCCTTTTCGTCTCTAATAATGACATTCTTCGAGGATTTTCTACAAAAAAATACTTTGCCTTTTTTCTCTCAAAATATTGTCGCTGACTATGCGTTTACGTTTACTTTGTATTCGAGGTAGGTTACGAGCTTTGATTATATATAATGTCTAGATACAGTGTCAGTTCACGGAAAGCGGTCCATAAGTTTGCAGGTAACAGAGGGCCTCGCACGAATAAGTAACTATCGCATTCGTATCGTAACAGTATCGAGCGAGTTAAGCGTTCTGATTGGTTGGTTCACTTGAGCCGGCCAATCAGAGCGCCGAAGCGCCGAGCGCCTGCGACCGTCCTCGGGCGCTTCAGTGTACAATCCTGTAACAAACAATCACACAATCATCTATAGCCAAGCTTGACGGGCCTTCCGCTCGTCCAGCCTGACATGAGTGACATCAAATAAACTTAGCTAACACAGACCATATTAATAGCTATTCTAATTCAGCTTAGTTATTAGTAAGCTTATTAGATTGATGAGATTTAAAACGTAACAGCACAGCACTAGCAGGAAGAGTTAAACGACAAAGATAAATAATAAATTATATACCTTTCATTTCATTTAAATTAAACTTGTTCAGTTATTGTTTATTTCTCGTAATTGTTGTGTAGCTACTTTTACCGTTTCATAACAAAACTTCTAAGTTGTGTTAGGCAGAATATTGAAGAAAAATACTTGGTTTTGTGTGGTACGGCGTGGTGCGCGGCGGTACGTGGCTGTTTGCGAACTTGTTTGAATAATTTTATTGTTACAAGATTGTTACTTTGCTGGAGTCTAGTTTTCTTGCCAATCATGAACTTGAGACTAACAAACCGCATAGAGTTGGGACTTAGATGGACTTCGAGTAGGAACGATCAACGTTTTATTTTGAAGTTAATTGATCTTATTTATTTATTAATATGCTTCTTGCACAAAGTGTACAAATAGGTGGACTTTTTGCCGCCGGCTTTTTCTAACAGTCTGACCTTTGGGTGATGCAGAGAAGAGTAAATGGTAGGTGCAAGAAGCAAGCAAAGATTTATTTAACAAATGAAAGACAAACAAAGTATTTCAGATATATACATAAATAAATATAATTATGATATATACCTACACATGAGTACAATATACATACATACATACATAATATATAAATATACTTGCTTACTAGTACACAGTGGATAGTTAGCGCGATGATTCAGCCAACCTCTTTAAGAGAAGCTCACGTACTTTGTGCCTTAAAGTTGTCGAGTCGAGACCATCCTGACATCCAGGGGGAGTGCATTCCACAGCAAAATTGACTGTATGAAAAAGGATGAATGTAAGAAGTCAGTGCGAAGAGTGGGCCATTGGAGAAGACCGCGCTTGTGGGAAGAACGAAGATTTTTATTGTGGTTTGCGCATGTATTGAAAATAAGGGGTTATTATAACTGGGTGAAGAAGGTGAAGAAAGAACGGAGAATAGAGTGGTTAGCGCCCCTTGCTCCCTGCGCTGGCGTATGGGCAGCCACTTTAGTTGCAGCCAATGTGCAGAAACATGATCGTATTTACGCAGGTTGAAAACGAATCGTCCTGAAGATAAGATGAAAACCAGTTCAATGATTTGTCAGAGATCGTTAGATGGGAAAGTATGGCTAAAAGGATGTCGTGACTGACCATATTGAAGGCATTCGAGAAGTCAACTAAAACCAAAACTGTGGCTCTAGCATTCTCGAGACCAGTTCCAATATCGCACGTCACCTTAAGGAGAGCGGAAACCGTGCTGTATTCCGGTCTGAAACCAGATTGAAGGGGACTTATGAGCGAGTTTTTGTAAGTAAAGTCAGCCAGTTGTTTTTGGACACAGGCCTCAAGCACTTTGGAAAGGAAAGGAAGTATGGAGATGGGGATCTTACTATCCAATTAACTGTTTTAAATATTGCATCTTACCATAGCAAGGTCGTACACACATTTTTCACACTTTAAAAAGTTTTCAACCGTGGTTCATGGATTAACGCGAAACTATGGATAGTCAATGTGGTAGTTCACTGATACCTACTGATTGAAGTAGTTGGACCGCATGTTGTAGGTACTTACGTACGTATATTACGTAGGTTGGCAACTTAGGAACGGGCAACTTTTGGCGAGGATTACATTTTAAACCGCAAATTTTACGAAAAGAGATTGGGTAGAGGATTAACTAAGTATCTACCTAGGTAGATATGAATAGGTACCTTACGAAGTAATTTGCTAGGAAGGACTGTTTACCTTGTAGATAGATGAATGTGTGATATTCATGTCATGAGTCCTATGCGGAATCAAACATTGATGGTGAAATAATGTAGGTAAGTAGGTAAATGCAAGCTGTGCTACTTGGAACAGGTTTTTTTACAACCATCACCTACTTAAAGTGATGATTAGTCAAATTGTAATGTCGTCTGTCATTTTAAGCAGTTGACCTACTTCAGAAGAGTGTCTGCCTAGTGTCAAAAGAAACGAATCTTTCTAAAGGTACACTAAGATTTCTTTTATTTCTTTTTTTTAAGGGGGGATAATCATCGAATGTCTTCTCCCGCCTAGGTGAGGCGGGAGGGATTCTCAGGCTCTTACTGAATAAAACCCACACCGTTCCTACTCCTGTACTTGGAGCCGGAGCCCCGGCAACCCGTTAAGTCCTCCGCGGCACCTACACTAGATAGCTATTAAATTTTGTTAGGCACCTACATTACATAATATTTTTATTTTCAAAAGCGTTTCCCTGCTCTAGGGTTTTCTCCTGTGTCGTGGGTGCGTTTACAAACATACAAGTTCATATACACTTAACACAGACCCGAAACAACAATCTGTAGATCACACAAAGAGTTGTTCTGTGTGGGAATCGAACACGCGACACGTTGCGCGGTAGCCAGTGCAGTTTGTCGTCATATAGTATCTAGGTTTTCATCGTTTGAAAGTATTTATTGAACAATTTGTAACAAGTTAGCCTCCACCGAGTACACCGCGGCGACCGGGCGAGGCTCACAGTTATATGGTATTGTTACCGGATATTGTATCATAAGCTGTGGTTTAATCCCCCTGGAATTCCATTGAAACACCGGAAGTTTTAAACTTTCTCATTTTACTTATAACTTTGTGGGCACTTTGGTAGGAACCTGTTATGGACCTAAGCTGAAGTAGGTATCTAAATTGTTTTCTTCCATACGAGAGGTTCTGTAATAAATACTGGATATCTGCAGTGTTAGCTCTTATTAGGTAGATAGTACCTAATAGATTAAGATGGGTGATTAAGAAGTTAATCAAGTGTTCTATAACACTACTAGTCG